CGCATCGATCCAGTTTGAGAAATGACGCAAGCCAATGGGGTCCAGGGCTCCGCGCGTAGTTGGTTTACGATGTTGTATCTTTTCGCTGCGTCGGACCTCATAGGAGGGAGGAGGAGGAGGATGAGGAGGAGGAATGGGAGGAGGAGGAGAAACACACAAGGCGGAGTGGGAGGAGGGGCGGAGGAGGAGGCGGAAGAGGAAGAGAAGGAGGAGGAGGAGAAGGAGGAGGGGGAGGCAGTGGAGGAGGAGGAGGAGGAGGAAGAAGAAGAAGAGGAGTAGGAGGAGTAGGACATGGAAGATTATACAAACAATCCTGGTAAGAAGCAGCAGCATAACAAGATACTACTACGAAGAATAACAGGAATAATAATAATTCGAGTAATTAGAATAGAAGCAAACTCGTAATTGTAATACTAGTGATCACAATAAGATTGAACATCGTAGGAACACGAAGAGGAGGAGGAGGAAACAGAGGAGGAGGAAAAGGAGGAGGAGGAGGAGAGGGAAGGAGGAAGAGGAGGGATGGAAGGATCACCAGGCTTACCGCCTTCGCAAGATTGAGATGGCCCACCCGAGGAGCTAGCCGAGAAGTTGTTGGAGCACGGCGGCGTCAAAACGATACCGCCAAGTAAATTGTTCCACCATGAAGATGGCCTTTCCGTCCAAGCCAACCCTCAAAGAGAAGCCTCCGAGGGAAGGGGGTGCGGAAGGGGAGGTGGATGAGGGGAGGGAGGAGGTGGAGGAAGGATGGGGAACATAAAGTTGAAGGGGGGGAGGGGAAGAGGTTGGGAGGAAGGAGGAGGAGGGGCAGGAAGATGATGATGATCATGATGATGATGAGGAGGAGGAGAACGAAGCGGAGAAAGAGGAGAAGCAGGAGGAGGAGGACGATGAGGAGGAGGAGGAAGAGGAAGAGTTGGAAGAGGAGGCGGAGGAGGAAAACTATGTGGAAGTAGGAGAGGCGGAGGAAGAGGAGGAAGTAGGAGAGGGAGCAAGGAAGGTGGGCACTTGTGCCAGGAGAGGAAGAGGAAGAGGCGGAGGAAGAGGAGGGGGAGCAGGAAGGTGGGCACTTGTGCCACTGGGTGCCCCCGGGCGTGCCAGGAATGACAGGCGGCTTGCAGCCCGATCGCCACCCCTGGTCGCCCGCAGCGGGCCGGAGGGGGGAGAAAGTTGCACTGTCGTCGCGACGCTGCGTCCCCCTCGCGGTGGCCCACCTGGTAGCACGCCAGGGTTCGGGCGGGGACGCGGGTCGCCTTCAGGGCGGCTCATCGGGGATCCCCACCCGTTGTTCCCACGGCTGGGGTGCCCCGCCCGGTGCGCGCGTGGGGGGGCGGGAATCGGCCAGGGAAGTGGCGCCCCTCGGCTTAAGTCGGGCCTGTCCCTCTACAGGGGGAATATTCAAAAATAGTAAAAAATAGTCTTGGGACGATTTGTTCGTATTCTTCACCATTGTTGAATATTTGTGGGGTATGTTTGGTTTTTTTCTGGGGTATTTTTATTTTTTCTTGGAGAATCCCCCTGAAGGGGGGGCAGGCCCGACTTCAGGCTGGCTTGGGGCGGCACTGGGTGGGTGCATCGTGATCTGGGTCCTACGGGGCGGGCGCGGCGTGAAGAGCTGGCTGGAGGCAGCGAGGCTTGTTCTCCCCAGCTGACCTGCTCTCGCCTGCCCTGTTCAGTTCGTTCGTGCCTTTGCTTCCACGGTCTCCTGGCCGCGCGCACGCTGTTAGGTGGCGCCGAGTGAGAGCGCTCGCGCTTCTTAGTGTTTGTGTCGCCTAGCAAGTGTTCTGTTGGGTCGTACAACGAGCTGCGGTGCGTTGTGGCAGTCGACCGTCGCTCATCGCTTCGTTTCAGGAGCTGCGCGTTGCTTGTCGCTTGTTTGCAAGACGCACCTCGCTTCGCAATATGATCGCAAAACGACGAGCAGGAGGGTGGAGGAGGGGGGGGCAAGGGGGGGGTTCTTTTGTTGGGTTCCACGTCCCGGCGCATCCAAGTGGCAGTGCCGAGCCGCCTGCAGTTGCGAGCGCGGGAGGTGGCAGGCGGAGGGGAGGGAGGAACGGCGAGGAGTACAAGGGGCGAACAAGATGACGACCAGCCCCAGATGACAAGCCACGATGGGAAGTCTTTTTTGCCGCTTTCGGCGTCCAAGGGGCCTTCGCACGGCTCCGGGGCCGTCGAGAAACGACTCGGGATGAGAAGCTTGCCCTGGGGAAAGGTTCAGGACGTCCAGAACGCCCGCATTGAATCGAACCCTTCGCCGGAGTAACCCTAGGCGCGGGCCCACTGGGGTCCCCCAGTCGCCGGACGCGAGGCGGCCGTGGCGTCTTGCACGCTTGCGTTTGGCCCTCCCGTAGCCCCCAGCAAACCGCGCACCAAAGGTCCACCCTTGCCCGGGGTCGCTTTTGTGTGTCGCCGCGTTGAAAATCTGAAACGCTGCACGTTGGAGGCGCGCGTCCTGAAAGCAGAGGGCTGCGCGACCCGATTCAGCCCCTCCGACGGTCGGCCCGTGGTGTCCGACGGGCGGGGGCGGCCAGGGGTTGCCCCACGCGGCGCCGGCCGCGGTGCGGCCGAGCGCCCCCGCGCGAGGGAGTCGGCTGCGCCCTCGCAGCCCCCTCGCGCAGAGGGGCCTCGCGGCCCGGGTCCGTCGCCGGAGGCCACCAGAGAAAGGGTAGCGTTAAGTCGGGCCTGTCCTTCTACAGGGGGGGACAAGCCCGACTTTAAGGTAGCTCTTGTCGCGGGCCTCGGCGGTATCAGGGCGCGCCACGGATGTGTGCCTGCACCCTGCTCGCGGGCCTGTCTGCAACATCTCTTGCGGCAGTGTGCGATGGTTTCGCAGTCGCGCGCCGCAGGACGCGGCAGCGAATGGTGGTATACGTCTGTTGCCCTCTCCGCGCGTGAGGCGGTTCCGGAGTCGGGGATGGGTCTTTTAAGATTTGGGGAGCCCCTGCAGAATCTCCTGCGGTGTCAGGTACAGCACGTTTGGTTCCAAGCTGGGACCAGGTCCTGACACCAGAGTCAGCTTCAATCCATTGCTCCTGGAAGCCTCCTTCGAACTGAGCCACCTATAAACAAACGCACGAGAGCTATGACATGCGAAGGTCCGCGCGGATTGCCTGGACCGGCACTGGACCCATGGATGATGAGGAGGGGGGGGTGCTCCCGCTGCCGTCGAGCGGTTTGGCCTGTCGTCTGCGACGCTCGGGAGTGTGCTCCACGGCTCTCTCGGGTGTTCCCGGAGGTCCCCCGCGGAAGATGAAGCGAGTGGCGGCGGGGAGGGGGAGGCAAGAGAAGGTGAGAGGGACGAAGGGAGAAGGGGGCGAACCTTGGTAGAGTTACTGGGAGAGGGCGCGGGTGGGGGAGGGGGAGCGAGAGGGGGGAGACAGGGCGGAGAGGGACCGGGGGCAATCGAGGAGTGGGAAGGAGGGGAGCCCAGGACCCATAGATTGGCGGCTCGGTCTTTTAGACAAGGCCCTTCGGAACTCTCCGTTCTTTCTTCCAGGACAGCTATATTTGTCTTGCCCCACGGTCTGAAACTGGCCTCTCGGAAGCTAATAACGCACGGGACGTACCTTATGCAGTTGTTTGTCGGAATGTTGGATGCACGGGGAGAGGAAGGCTTCTTAGGATGCAACTCCTGAGAGGTGAAACTCAGCATCGGCGCCGACAGATCGGCTGCCGAAAAACTTGCGGAATCGGGTGCAGTCTGGCTTACTCGACCTCACTCTTTCTTGCGACGACCACCCAGGAGATGCGTCCTACAGTCAACCCGCATAGTCAAATTGGGCACCCTGCCTAAGGGTACCCTTGCATCCTTGCCCCTTCGGCTCATCCTTAGCGACTTGCGCCACACCACATCGTTCGAAGAACGTTCACATGATTCTCCAAGGCCCTTGCATTCTTACCGCGCAGCCTTATGATACGGGTCGACTGTATTCTGCAGGGATGGCGCCCGCCTGCGGTGAAAAGCATTTTGAGATCCCGCTCAGTCTGCTGCTCGCCTTCATGACCCTGTGGCCCGAGTCCGTGATGATACAGGCGCGGGTGGATCGACCCCTACTCTTCAGGAGGAAAAAAGACACACCGACACGATCAGTCGTCGATCCCCAGTACAATGTGGGAATTTTAGGCATTCCATGCTTATGTGGTGGGTTCGCGTCGTTTCGACCGGCGGCGACCCCGCCGCCGGCGTTCAACCTTGAGCGCCGCTGGCGACCCAGAGTCGGTGGACGTTGATTCATCGCACGTTTCGGACACGGCCCATCGTCCAAGGCTGAACGATCCGCACGGTGTCGGGAACCAACGCCCGGGGTCGACACGGCACGAATTTTGCAGTGTCGGCTCCCTGGCCATGCACGTCTCGCCTCGCGGCGCCGTGCTGGAATGTTGGGCGCGTCCTCCTTGCCCGCCGAGCCCTGCCCGGCTGCGCGCCGCGCCGCGCCGCGGACCGAGTGCCCGCCGCGCCCGCAGCCTGTCCGATTGTTTTGTCTTGTTGGCGGGGGGGGGCAGCCTGCTCTACGAGCGCTGGCAGTTCGGGCTTGGAATTGAGGCGTGCGCCCCTCCAGTGCTCCGGGTGAGTGGGGCCTGTCCCTCTACAGGAGGAGCATTGAGAAGTAGTAAGAAAAGAGTCAGTGGACGATGTTTTCAAAAGAGATGTCTAAACATTTTGGCATATTCTTAGGCCAGTTTAATTGTTCGCCCAAAAACAGCCTGTAGGGGGACATGCCCGGCATTATGCTACAGCCTTCACGGAGACTAGGCGAGATCGGTGGATCGGAGAAAGGCCAGAACGGCGGGGTCGGAGTGCTCCTCCCTGAGCCGACGGACGGTTCCGCGGACCTTCTCAAATTCAGCGAGCCGCCAGTCCGTAGTCGGTGCAGCGGGCCGGGAGGAGCGAGGACTTCCGGATGTGATTTCGAGGGCGCCCTTTCCTCCTCACCGTCGAGTTCCACCCGCAGGGGAAGGTCCGGATTCACGAGAGGGGTTTCTATGACTGTGCTGGATGCTCTCTCACGAGCCTCCAGATTCATCGTTCAGTTTCAGTTGAGCGGAAGGTCAGGACAAATCGGAACCATAGATTCTGGGAGAGTTCCAGAGACAAATGGAACGCCGATTTGTGGAGCGTAGCGCGCGCCTTCGCAGAAGTCCCCAAAGAGTGTTCGAGGGCTTGAGGAGCCCAAGTAACACATGGGCGCTCAATTAAACTGTTGAGGGCGGGCAGAAAATCTGGTGTGCACGAGCATTGTGAGCGGGTGCGCGGGACTTGGGCGCTGGCCGATGCGTTGATGGGATGCCCGAGAATGCGTCACACATATTACGCCTGTGGCGCCATGGAGGCCGCATTTGCGGTTGCAGTTGGGCGGGCGCCCTGCCGCGCGCACCGTGGAGACAGCTCTCTTGGGCGCCCGCCCGCCGCCGTGGACGTAGTGGACCCAGCTAGTCTCTCGGTCGGCGCGCGGCGGGTTGGCAGCCACGACGCTGGCGGCCTGAAAATGCTTCGAAGGTGTTTCTCCCCGAGCCCGGGGCTATTGTACGTTTTCGGTGGCACGCGCAGCTCGGAGAAAAATCGCCTTGTCTGTCGGCGGCCAGTTGGCTGTCGTCGCGCAGAAGTACCAGCGGATTGCGCGGCCCACGCTCAGCGCAGAGAGCGCGTCCATAAGCGTGGACTCGTCGAGGGGCAGGAGGAAGGACCTCGCGGTCGGGACCATCGCGGCCCGCGATGTCCACGGCCCCCGCCCTGGGCGCGCGAGGACCTGCTGGGCGCCGCCGCAGCGCGATCTCAGGTAATCTCGGAACTAGAAATCCGGGCGCGCCAAATTTCGCGGGCCGAAAAACTCTCAGAGAGTTTCGGCCAGCTCCGAGGTTTTGGGTTTATGGGAATGTTTCACGCGGGGTGGCTAGTTCAGAGATTTTCAGAGATTCTCAGAGAAGTTCGGATGCGAGAATTTTGCGCGCCCCGGTTTCTGGTTCTGTGAATCCCAGAAAAGCGGTTCCTTAGGTTTTACCGGGTCTCCAGGCGTCCTACTGTGAGCCAGAGACGAGTGACTGGCTGGCGCCGCGCCCGATGCTTCCGGAGTTGCGATTTCGGTCCTCGATTCCCTGGGGCCCGCGGGCCCCTGGGCCAATCGCGAGGTCGCCGAGGCCCCCAGGCGGTTGCGCGCGATTGTCTCGGAAACTGGAGTTGGGCATCCATGGTGGACGCCCGCGCGTACGCGCTAGGTGTCCGCGAGATTGTTCGGTGGCGGATCTTGCATGGCGCGGGGACTGGACTTTCCAAAGACTTTCCGGGGTGTTCTCTACGGTGATTTCGGCGCGCCTCGGGAACCTTAGGGCGGCGCGGGGAAGTCGCCTGGCCGCGCGCGGGACTTTTTTCCAATGCCTTCTTGGGCATTATCGCGGTGTTGCGTGGCCGAAGAGGTCACTGAGCAACGCGCTTTTTGACATTTTCGTGTTTTTTCGTTGCGTTGGTTGCGTGGTTGTTTTGGCGGTCCGCCTCCGTAGGGCCCCCTTGGGGCCGCAAGTTTGTTTTGTTGACGTCGGGTCTTTTGGAGTGAAAGGCGCTTGGCGCTGAATTCCCTCGGGCGTGCGCGTGGCCAAAAACGCGCCGTGGCTTCATCCGCGCCAGGGCGCATTTCCCCCCTCGCGAAGCCGATGGCGCCCAAGGCGTGGCAGGCCCGTTCGGCGGCGCCCCCAGTGATTTGAAAAACCGAGCATGATTTCTATCCCGGTCAAATTTTGCCCCGATCCTGGTTTCATCTTCAGTTGCACCTCTGCGCCTCTCAGCATCTATTTGCATGTCCGTGGGTGCCAGTGCATGTATAGGAGCTCCCCTTCGCATGTATTCCTATTTGTTTAGATATTACATACATTGAGGGTGCCTCCTAGTCAGGCCCTACGCGGATCTGGAAACTTGGCGCCCCCCGTTTATGCCAACTTCGTAGGCACCATTTGCCCTGGTAGCGTTGTAAAATGCATGTCTGGATCGCAGGGTACGAGAGATGCGGTGCAAGTGCTAGTCTGTGTTTGGTGTCCTTGCAGTTTGTATTTGGTGTCTGGCCCCTCCTGCTGTCGTTTGTCGCTCCTCTCTCTTCTCGCCTTCCCCCGCTCAGTCTTCCAGCGTCCGATCCTGCGCCGCCGACGCCTCCCCCCTCCCCCTGCCTCCTGCCTTCTTGCCTCCTATTCGACGTCGCTCCCCCCCCCTTCATCCTCCTTTGCCCCGTCCCTTAAAGAGCACGGCAGGCCCGTAGCGCTGCCGCGACACACTCGGCAGACCTCACTGCACACGCACGTTTCTCGGAGCCATCGGGGCAGCAGCACTCGTCTGTCATCGGACGCCAGCGGAGCTGGCGTGGCAGGAAGTTGACCTGCTCGCGCAAGCACCGTGGGATCGACTCTTGTGGAGTAGACGGAGGGGGAGACAGAAGTAGGCGATGAACTCGTTCTAGCACCGTGTTGTAGTAGTCGTAAGTGTAGTCGCAGTAGTAGTAGTAATAATAATAATTGTAGTAGTGGTAGTAGTCGTTGTTGTTGTAGTAGTAGTAGTAGTAGTAGTAGTAGTAGTAGTAGTAGTAGTAGTAGTAGTAGTAATAGTAGTAGTAGTAGTAGTAGTAGTAGTAGTAGTAGTAGTAGTAGTAGTAGTAAGTAGTAGTAATAGTAGTAGTAGTAGTAGTAGTAGTAGTAGTAGTAGTAGTAGTAGTAGTA